CTGCTGTAACAGACTAATATCCCATTGGTTAGACCCTTGTCGTAACAAATCCGAAACTTTAAGAGCTAAATTTATAGAACTGTTTTCGCGATACATTGGTGGCCTTGGAATAGTGTCAATAATCCAGTTCTCAGCCCAGACATTCGTGTCAGAACCAGTACCAATATGTCGAATTAAACCTTGTTTAAGTAAATCTCTCCCGTGCATGATGCTCCTCCATGCATAAGACGGTCGTGTCCCCATTCCACATTCCAAAAAATCACCATTTTTAAAATATTTACCTTTAAGTATTCGAGCAACCAACGAATCTGGGTTATTCCATATTCGCCAAGCTTGTTTCCCCAGCAACGCCTGATTAAAACGACCAATATCCTGAAACCCAAGACCACCCTGTTCTTTTGGTTTACATAGTTTTTCCCAAGAGACCCAAGGTATTTTTCTTTTTTTATCCCCACTGCTCCACCAGAACTCTATTATCACACTCGTAATTCTTTCGCACAGACCTTTTGGTAACCTAAAGACCGACATTGCATATATCGGTAGTGCCAAAGCAACTGATTTTATTAGAACTTCCTTGGCACCCATTGACAAAGTTTTAGAGTACCATCCCTGTAGCCTTCCTTCTAATTTTTCCTTAATAAAATTGAGGAGCGCTTTTTTTGAGCCTTGAAAACATTCCGGGAGACCAAGATATGACCCCTCACCACCTTCTTTTTGTATGCCTAGAACCTCTTTGATCATCTGTTTACGAGAATTATCTCAACTTTTATGTACATATATGTTGGTCTGTCAGAGACTAAGTAAAGAAATATCTAATATTATACTTTTGGTAATTTCTTAGTTTACGATAGATTGGTTGTTTTTAGATATTAGGTTTGAGCGAAACTACAAGATTTATAGTAATCGTACATTCATATGTTTTACTTATTTTGGTCTCGCTCAATAATCTATCAGCTATAGGTTAGTACTGTGTGAATTAAATTTGATTACCGTCCAATTAAATGGAGTGTGTAACATACGGACACGCGTATCCAACAGCAAACATCAAAATTCTCCCAACCATCCCTATCACATTCTCCAATTTCATTGGACCACCTTTTTGTTTTCACATTAATTGACTATGGCCATTATAGACATGGTACTATACCGACAAAACCTAGAAACTTCATCCCAAGTCCGTTTCCCACTAGGTTCGAGTTAAGTCGAGTTCGATGCAGTGGCGGATGTAGAATATTAATTTGTTGGGGGCAAATCATATATAAATATAGATAAAAGGTTAAATATGATTTTTAGTAGGAGACAAATCAAAAATATACATAGAAAACAATAATAAAGCTCAAACATATTATAAGGAATTTGAAATTTTCATGGGAGCAAGTAGGTTTGGGCATATTATCTATAATTCAGAACAAACTGAAAAATCCGAATCCGGCCGGTTATGGATCCATCATAATATCTGATTGGTTCTGATATACTGATACTTTGGATATTGGGTATAGGTTCGGTTTAATCTGAAATCCGAAGTAGAGTCCAAAATAACCGAAGTGTATGTATTATGTAGATAAAAATATACATGTATTACACGAAGTCGACAATTTCCAAGACACGTTTTGTTATTTCCAAAGTTTGAGAGACATGTTTCGTAGTTCTTATTAGTTCATCTTACTTAACAAAGTTTGTGTTGATACGATTATATATTATGTGAGTTTTCATATGTTCACTTATCACTTTGATTGTAAACATTTGTCTAATGTTATCATTTAATTTCAGTAATTTCTACAAATTTATAAATCTTCAGATCTTGTTCTTTCATTGGCGTCATAAAAATGATTATCAATAAATTAAATCTCAACAATTGTGATTCATAAATTTAAGTTAAGTGTCTTATGTTTATTTATTTTCTTTGAATTTTACTTCAGTTAATCGAAATCGATACACTAAAACCCGAATCCAAATGATATGCGGTAACTTCGGTATAATCCGAATCCAAACCAAAACGATGTGTTATATCCGCCCCGATCCGAATTTAAAAATTTCTTAAAATGGGACCTAGAAGGTGTTACAAAAAAAGCACTGATATCCGATATATCTGATCCAAACCCGAACAGGTACCCGAACGCCCATGCCTAGGAGCAACTACCACCAACTCGGCTCACTTACCTCTGCCACTGGTTCGATTCAGTGTAGTTACATGTCAACCCAAAATAGTTTAAGTTAAATTTTAAATAAATTCGATTGAACCCAAAATAGTTTCGGTTTTAGATATTAATCGAATTATCAGTTCCAAAAATATTAATTTGTAGTTGATTAAATTCAATATATTCTTCATATTTTCAATAAATGTGTGTATGTGACTTCCTTATATCATATTGTTGTCATTCAACATAATTTTGGAAGATTTATCTATCAACCATACAAAATTCTTTCTTAAATTATACATAACATCATCAGAGATATTAGACATGGGCGTTCGGGTCTTCGGATCGGATTTGGGTTGGTTCCTTTCGGATCTAGGTCCCTTCAGTTCCTAGAATTTTAAATCCACGAAGAACTCGTAAATTTTTCGGATCGGTTCTTCTCAGGTCCGGATCGTTTTGGGTCTATAATTAAAATACCTATAAAATACCCATATATTCGGATCCGGATCGGATTCAAGTATTTAGGAAATGAAAAGGTTACGAAATAACCAAATTCCATCAAATTTAGTCAAACTCTATCATAAATATCTACATTTTACAAAATAACTTATAAACTATCAATAACTAAAATAAAACATTTTAAAAAATTTAAACTTTACATTTAAAAATTCATATTAGTTAAAAATGTTATAAATAATAATAAAGATTGTTAACAAAAAGATATTTCAACTAAATCATAAAATAAAATTTAGAAAATAGAACACAAAAGATTTATAGTTTTAGATATTCATATTATTAAGTCGGATATGAATCGATTCTTATCGGTTCGGATCTATTCAGGTCGGTTCTTTTCAGATCCCGGTCTATTCAGGTCGGGCTTTTTTTTAGTCCGGTTCTTTCGGATAAAATTTTTTTGAACCCAATAGGTACTTGTAAATTTTTAGTTCGGTTTTAGTTCGGGTATTTACAGGTCGATTCCGGCTCAAGTTTTCAAGTTTGGGGTAAAATGCTCAGGCCTAAAATTGAGTTTGATACAAATTATTTTTAGGATTTTGAATTTTTCTGATATCAATTTATGTTTAGGTTGGGTTATCGGTTTGGATAAAACCCAAAATACTATAAAATAAAACATTTTGGTATATACCAGATTCGGTTTGGATTCATTTTTATCAGATTGAATGTGGTTCGGATTCGGTTTATATGTCCAGTCCTAAGAAGAATCATTCTTTAAAATTACAGAATTTATAAAGAATATTTTGAGAGATTATTCCTTTTCATTCAGCTTTCTAATTACCATCTAATAAAAATAGATTAAAAACTACAGAAATTCTAATTTTAAACTGAGTTTTCAAACCGTTTATCATTTAAAATAGAGGAAGTAGTTAATACTTTTTTTAAATATCAACAAAACTATTCTATTTACATGCTTTTATAATAAAATTCTTAGTTTTCACATCAACAAAAAAAAAAAAAAAACTTTAGCATCAAACTGGAAGTCGCTATGTGTTGCGAGTTTGAATAATAAGTAGGACACTCTTACAATTCTAACATCAAGATTTATAAAATATCCATATATGTAAAGTTTTAATGCTATATATACAAACAAACATTCATCATCAAATATTCATTTCAACACGTAATCTACCAAAAACAAAACCACTAATGGTTAGAGGAATGGAAGCTTACTCAACTGATAACAAATTTACACAACATGATAGGTAATCAATAGAAAGGTAATCAATAGGTAATCACAGACACAGACACTTACATAATAGTCAATCAATTTAAATTTCGAAAACCGATAAATCAGCATCCGACTAACTATAATTCAAAAAAAGGACCGGTTAACTCGGTAAACCAGTAAAACTAAATCAACAAATAAAAAATAGAATAAAATTAAAAACTTCCATTTTCTCCACTTCCTTGTCAGAGAAGAAGTTTCTAAAACCCCACACACACTCACTACACTCTTCCATCTTCCTCCTCCTCACTTCCTCTTCGTCGTAAACACGAAGATCAAACGAAGACAATGGCGTCGCGATTTTCCATCATCGCTTCCGTCATCTCCTTCGCTCTCCTCTCCCGATCCTCTCTCGCCGAAGATCCTTCCGTCTCCTACGTTTACGAACTCTCGTACATCACTGCCTCTCCTCTCGGCGTTCCTCAACAGGTTAGGTTTTGTTTCGCTCTAATCCGATCCATCTAGTGAATGATCCGCTTCGTTTGATCATTAAAGTATATTCGATTCTGTTTTTGATCGATTCCGTTTGTTACAGGTCATAGCAGTAAACGGAATATTCCCAGGCCCTGTCGTAACTGCCACAACAAACTACAACGTCGAAGTTAACGTATTCAACCGTTTAGATGAGCCGCTTCTACTCACTTGGTGCTGATTTGCTAATCATCAATCTGTTATAACTGACATTAATTAAGTAATTTAATTTTTGAAAATTTTCTTTTAATTAAAGGAATGGGATTGAGATGAGACGTAACGCATGGCAAGACGGAGTTCTCGGAACAAACTGTCCCATCCCTCCGAAATGGAACTTCACTTACAGCTTCCAAGTCAAAGACCAGATCGGTAGTTTCTTCTACTTCCCTTCACTAAACTTCCAGAGAGCTTCTGGTGGCTTTGGTCCTATAGTGATAGATAACCAGGATCGTATTCCTCTCCCTTTCACTAAGCCTGATGGTGAGATCACCTTCATGATTGGTGATTGGTTTACTCAAAACCATACAGTAAGTGTTAAAGTGTGTGTGTGTGTACTTGTTGAGTGTTTTATAAAAAAAAATTTGATTGGTGAAAAAGTTTTTTTGATTGGTGAAAAAGTTTTTTTTTTTTTTTGCTTTAGGTGTTAAGGAGTGTGCTTGACTCTGGTGAAGAGCTTGGGATGCCTGATGGAGTTTTGATCAATGGGAAGGGTCCTTATAAGTATAATAGTAGTGTTCCTGATGGGATTCAATATGAAACTGTTAATGTTGATCCAGGTTTGTTTCTATATTGTTAACTTTAATTTTTGTCCTTGTTGCTTCACATGAGTTTGTGTTTTTGCAGGGAAAACGTATAGGATTCGTGTTCATAATGTTGGTATCTCGACAAGTTTGAACTTGAGGATTCAGAACCATAAGTTGTTGTTAGTTGAAACGGAGGGTCGATACACATTGCAAACGAACTTCTCGGATTTTGATATCCATGTGGGACAGTCTTACTCTTTCTTGGTGACAATGGACCAAAACGCCTCTAGTGATTACTACATTGTTGCGAGTGCAAGGTTTGTGGATGAAGAAGTGTGGCAGAGAGTCACAGGTGTTGGGATTCTTCATTATTCGAATTCCAAAGGTCCTGCTTCTGGTCCTCTTCCGGTTCCGTCTACTGATGTTTCTCACCCTTGGTCTGTGATGAACCAACAGAGAGCCATTAAGTATGTCTACAAAAACTCTGAAAGAAAGTGTATATGTAACTGTGGATGTGTAGTTCTGATTCTGTTTTCATGTGCAGGCAAAACACAACTTCGAGTGGAGCTCGTCCAAACCCCCAGGGATCATATCACTACGGACAGATAAATATCACAGGCACATACATTTTTAGAAGCATGCCTCCAACCATGATCAATGGGTCACTTCGTGCTACGCTTAATGGGATTTCGTTTCTGAACCCAAGCACACCCATGAGGCTTGCGGATAAGCATAGGGTTAAAGGAGTTTATAAGATGGATTTCCCATCAAAACCTGTTGACAACAGACCTCCTCGTTTGGAGAGTTCTATCATCAACGCAACATACAGAAGCTTTGTTCAAGTTATATTCCAGAACAATGACACCAAAGTCCAGAGCTTTCATATTGATGGATACTCTTTCTACGTCGTTGCGTAAGATAATCATGCCTTTCGTACTTTTACATTGTTGATCAGTTTTAATTGCTCTGACATGGAAATTTTAAAATATGTATTGTAGAATGGACTTTGGAATCTGGACTGAAGACAGAAATGGTTCTTATAACAACTGGGATGCAATATCACGAAGCACAATAGAGGTTTTGATTCACATTTTACAATCTGTCTCTCTTATACATACCATTTGGTTGTTTACTTTGTTTTTGTGTTTGATGTTTGCTTCAGGTTTACCCAGGGGCATGGACTGCTGTACTAATGTCACTCGATAATGCAGGAGTTTGGAATATCAGAGTTGAGAATCTTGACAGATGGTATCTTGGTCGAGAAACATACATACGAATAATTAACCCCGAGGAGAACGGTAAAACAGAAATGGGTCAGCCCAAAAATGTTCTTTACTGTGGTGCTCTCAAGAGCTTGCAGAAGTGAGCATTAGAAACTTCACTCATCTCTCCTTCCTCTCATATCATCTTTAGATGATGTGTGAAATTTTTGACACTTTTCTTTTGTGACTTTGTGCAGGCAACAGTTCCATCGCTCTGCATCATCAAGGCTAAGTGGAAATTTGATTCTAATATTCAGCTTCATGATGGTTCTGCTCGCCTCGGTTTCAGCACTTTGCTGAGTCTCTTTCTGATCTTCTCCCATGGTTAGGTCGTATAACACGAACTGTAGGACTCTTTTATTTCTTCTTCTTTGATTTCATTGATTGGTTGTTTTTGCACTCAGATCTTTTGCTTCTCATGGTTCTAAACAGCTTTAGTTCGTGAGGTTGGTTTGTGTCTAAACTCTAAAGCAATGTAAATGTTTTTAGGTATCTTCTACATTATCATTGCTTTGTTCATCCATAATTATAACTTTATTTTATATTCATTGTATATCATTGTAAATTGTAATATAAGCACGATAATGGACAAGAAAACCATAGATGATGGTCTTAAAGTCCTGAAGTGAAGGGTACGCCAGTGCCTGGGAGCCATGCAGTACCGCCAATGAAGCTTCCAACAGTGAAAGCAGATGCATCAGAAGCTCTATTCAACACATGAAACCCTTTCCAACGAACACGCCCGCTAGTGGACGAAGCTGGTCCGGTATTATTATACTCAGCGTAGAACAACGTGTCTAAACCAAAATCCGAACCTTTAAGCCACGGCGACCAACCTAACGGACTCACAACACTATCCAAATACGTCTCAAGAACCACCGTTCGCGAGTACTTCATCCATGGCCTACCCATGAACGTCTTAACGGTACTCATCACCGGTATTAGATCAGGAGCCGGTAAGATAGTCGAGTTATGAATAGAAATTCCAGTGTTCTGAAATGGATATGCACGAGCTTGCGCGGTTATTACATTGGCTTGGCCCTGGAGAGGGCGGCGAGGGAGGATGAGACAGTTTTGGAAAACCGCGGCCGCGTTTCCAAATATGAAATCTACGGTTCCATAAATGTGGCAGTCACGGTAAAACTGGCGTTGGGAATGGACCAACAATGTGTCTTGGTATCCTTCAATTGAGCATTGGTAGAAGATTGAGAGGTCTGAGGATGATCGAAGTGCCACGGCCTGGCCCTTTGATGGACCTGCCGTGTTCTGGAATGTTAAGCCTTTGGCTATGAAGTGAAGTCCCTCGATACCTGGATCACACGCAATGGAGCCAGTTGTTACATAGCGAGTAAAAAAAAGTGATATGATTCAAATGGTAACGCTTACTTCTTTTGCGGGAGAAAAGCGACCGTTACGTTTTTATTTCGTTTTTTTTTTCTAACTAGTGCTAACAACTTTTGATACCGATCCAATGTATGCTTTAACTTGATAATCCAAAACGTACGGAAATTCCGATTTCTTTTATTATGTCAATTTTTTTTATATTTGTTAAAACTAGTGCATGCATTAGTAAAAGAAAATGAAATAATAATAATAATAATAATAATAATAATAATAATAATAATAATAATTATAATAATAATAATAATAATAAGAGCAATTCTCTCAAATAGCCCTCTTTTAAGTTTTTATCACAAAATAGATCTCAATAATTAAAATGACCAAAATAACATCTTTTATTTTGAAAATTTTAAGTTTTTTTTATTATTTAAAATTTGAAACTCTATCCCTTAAATCCCACTCCTCAATATTAAACAAAAAAGTCTAGAATTAGTTAACCCAAGGGGTAAAAGTGCATATTTAATAAAACATTTAATTGTTATTTTGGTCATTTTAATTGTTAAGGTCTGTAGTTGTGACAAAAAATTATTAGGTATATTCTAGTCATTTTCTCTAATAATAATATAAAATAGAGAAGAATTTTTTTTATAAATTTGTTATGTTAAAAAATATAAATTTGTTAGATCCAGTCCATGTACTAATAAATAAGAAATAATTAAATAAAATATAGGATAATTAATTAATTATTTACCAGCAGTAGCGGAATTGTAAGTGGTGTAACCATCTTTGACACTACGAGCACCGGTGATAATCGTGGCTCCTATCCCATCTCCGACCAACATTATGTTATTGTTATCTCGACGTACGTTTATGTTTTCTTCATATACTCCTCTCTTCACGTATATAACAAACCTGCCTGATGACATCACCTTTCTCCTTCCCGCCACGTCAATAGCCGCTTGCACCGTCGTCATGTGTCCCGATCCGTCTTTGGCCACCACGATGTTAGCTCGGACAGCACTCTCAGAGTTCACTTGTATAAGTCTTCTCTCTTTCCCGGAAATCCACGTCGGAAATCCCTTCCGATCAGCCGTGTTGCTGGTCATGAGGGCTCCGTTGACGGCTAAGCAGTTGCTTATGAGATTGGATATTTTGGTGTCTGAAACAATAGGTGTGATGAAATCAGAGACGTTGAAATCTGTCGTTCCTTGTCGGCACGTCTCGGTGTTTGTGAGTGCGGTGCTCAGCCACGTCTGAGCATCGAAGTCGGTGCAGTACTGTTTTCCGGACAAGCCTTGTAGTGTCCGGTTCAGCTGCATGATAGTGTCTCCATAGAGGTCGATGCAGTCAGCGAAAACGGCTTGTTTCTGGTTATCAGTACAGTTAAGGCTGGACTTAGCTAGCTCGTCCCGAGCAGATATCGCCCGATGCATGGCTGCTTCAATAAGCATTACTCGAAAATCGGATAGTTGTGTGGGAAGTCGATAACCACCGTTACGGTTTATAAAGTAGTGTTTGCATGGATCAGGGTAAGGAGTTTTGTGGCACCACTGGTCAATAATGCCGGATACAGTGGTGAGAAGATGGAGACAGAGTAGAATTGATAATAGTAAACGTAGAAGATAAGATATTTTGTGCATCATCTTATCCTATTGTTTCCAGTTTGTTAAATGATTTTGGGTTGAGGAATTGGAATGTAATTCAAGAGTAAAATGCTTAAAGACTATAGTAGAGGGTGGGATCATGAATCTAATCTATATTTATGTATTGTGGTGATATTAACATGCAGACCAAATTTATATTGCAAGGTCATGACTCATGGCCTCATGGGTGAGATCTACCTTTGCGTTAATTTTTTCCTTTAGCTCGACGGCTGTTTTCTGATTGCGTGAACGTTTCTATCACTATTAATTTTTGGGGTGGTCTATTAATATACTGGTAGAAATACAAATGTCAGTTTAAAAAAAAAAAGAAATACAAATGCCGGATCATTCCTATCAAAAAATGTTTGTCTACAATATTACCATGAATGTAGTTGAGAGGTTTCTATTAAATAACAAGGTTTTCCCTTTGTTTAAAAATGGTAGAGAGAGTATTACAAAATGTAGTTTTATCAACAGATTTAAAAAAATAATAAAGATGAAGACAATTTTTTTCAGTAGTTATGAAAAAAGATATTTACTTAAGTTCAAAATAGACTTTCTAAATATAAAATAGCAAATATTTCTAAAACATAAAATCTTTTTGAAATATTGCACCATGAGAGTGTACAATATAGGCCTGGGCATTTTACCCGGATCCGAAGACCCGAACCGGAACCGACCCGAAAATACAGGTTCGGGTCTGGGTCCGGGTCCATGCTAAAGTACTTGTTGGGTCTTTTTTATTTGGATTCGCGGGTCTCGGGTCGGGTCCGGGTCCTGCCCGAGACCCGTTCGGGTACCCGTAGTATCCATAAATTCTTGCATATATAAGTTATATTTAGGTGTTTGGGTATATTTTTGGTATTTCGAGTATTTTTAAAATTTTCGGGTTCGGGTTTTCGGGTCTAATTTTAGGTTTCGGGTAAAATTTTACATTTTCAGAAAATAAAATTCGGGTATTTGGGTAAATTTTTGTGTATTTTTTGGGTTTTTAGGTCTGATTTTTGATAATTTTTTGGTATTTCGGCGGTTCTTCGGATAATTTTCGGGTTTTCGGGTCTATTTTGGGTATTCAGATCCTTTTCGGGTCCTAAATACCCGGATCCGAAATATACCCGATAATTATGGGTATTTTACGGGTATTGAAATTATAGAACCGACCCGGACCCGACAAGACCCGACCCGGAACCAACCCGAAAAGTTATAGGTACCTATATGGGTCTAAATTTTTAGGACCCGAAAGACCCGGACCCGACAAGACCCGACCCGAACCCGACCCGAGGACCCGGATGCCCAGGCCTAGTACAATACATTGTCCAAAGAAAAGGTTAAATTATCAAATCAAACTTGGGCCAAATATCTTCGAACCATTGTGGTACGGACTCTAAACGCCCTGCCGTTTTCAAATCAATAAAACAACAAGTATTCCACGGAAGCACAGAGCTTTTTTTGTCCCCTACTAAAACCTTGAAGTCCCTCCTTCCTCCGCCACAAGCCGCCCACAAAATAGCCAGAGAATGTGGAAGCTGACGTCACGATTCCGGGCACATACCAATTCGACCTCATGGTTGGTCCGAAACTTCAGTAGCAGAGACCCCACCGGTCTCTACGGCTTCGATCATCTGAAAACAGCCAAAGGGTTTCAACGTTTCGTCGCTGATGCCATTGAAAGGTTTGAACTTTTTATCTCTCTCTTCACTAGAGACGAAGTGTTGTTATGTTACTTTGGTTATTGAGGAAATCTTGTGGAACTTAGGTCTGGGGAGTTAGTGAGCTACATATCAGGAATGCCTTCTTCTCCTGAGATTATTAAAGCCATGGATGAGATTTCAGACACTGTATGTTTATGTTTCTTATTACAATCTCTCTTTGTTTCTTGTTGCTTGGTTGTAGTGATTGATGTTTTATGAATCTGAATCTTTGTAGGTTTGTTGTGTTGTTGACTCTGCTGAACTCTGTAGACAAACCCATCCTGATAGGTCTTTTCTTTATTCCCTCTATTTCTTCAATACTTGGTTTGGTTATGTTGTATTGGTTTTTTCCTTAAACCGGTTTTACTTTCCTCCAATCTAATAGGGAATTTGTTGAGGCAGCTCATAAAGCAGCAATGGACATGAATGACTATCTACATGTGAGGTGACCAATGATTTACTCATTGAACCATTGTTCTTGTTTAAGACATGAATACGCACTTGTCTGAAAATATCAATCTCAGCTTTTGTTTTTCAGTAGGGACACAGTTGAGTGGTTGAACTTATTCCAGTGATTTTCCTTTTCTTGTGTGTTTGATTTTTACAGCAACTTAACACAAATCATACTTTGTATGCTGCGGTGAGAAAAGCAGAGCGAGATTCCAATTTGCTTACAGAAGAAGCAAGTAGGACAGCTCATCACCTTCGTATGGACTTTGAACGTGGTGGCATTCATCTAGACCCTGGTTTGTGTTTTCTATATTGCCGTTGGTTTCTTAACCGTTTTAGGATATGCCTTTTTTGTAATTTATTATATTCCTTTTTGCAGAGAAGCTAAATAAAGTGAATAACTTAACAACCAACATTTTTCAGCTGTGCAGTGAGTGAGTGCCTATGAATACGACTAAAATTATAATGGTGCTTTGTGCTGTTAATAGTACTAACATCCTTTGATTCAGGTTCAGTGAAAATATTGCTGATGATCCTGGACATGTTGATATATTTCCAGTGTCACGCATCCCTCGACACCTGCACCATCTTCTCAGCCCTATCTCCAGATTCACTTCAGGAGGGTCTAAAAGATCAGCTCACACCCCGAAACAGAAGGGGTTTAGAATACCTACTGATCAACGAACCCTTTCTTCCATTTTGCAATGGACATCAGATGAAGAGGTTTCTCTACTTTTACCTTAACTGATAGAAATGGAAAACTAGGAAAATGTCATTTTTAATACATTATTTTTTTCCAGGTTAGAAAAATGGTGTATATTCAAGGGAACTCTGTTCCTCACGCAAATCACGGTGTTCTTGAGAAGCTTATTGCTTCACGCCATGAGCTTGCCCAGATGATGGGGTGTAATTCTTACGCTGACTTCATGGTGGAGCCAAACCTAGCCAAATCACCAAAGGTTGTGACATCGTTCTTACAAGAACTGAGCAAGACAGTCAAACCAAAGGCGGACGAAGTAAGCTGACCCTCACACTAAACCTGGCATTTTTATGTATTCTTGTTAATTTTTTTTTTTTATGTAAAATTAAGGCTCTAATAATATGTTCCTATCTCTGTAGGAGTTCATTGCCATTAGAGACTTTAAAAGAGAGAAATGTGGTGATAAATCAGCAGAAGTAGAGCCATGGGATGAAACTTACTATACTTCATTGATGAAATCCTCTGTCAATGATGTGGACACCTCTGTAAGTTGTTTCTGGTATCATTTAATTTTTGGTTGGTTCCTTCCTTTTCATACTCTTAAAGAGACTGTTGCAAAGATATTTATCTTATCATGGCTCTGTTTTGATTATTACTTTTACAGGTTGTAGCATCATATTTTCCTCTGCCTCAGTGTATTGAAGGCCTGAAAGTGCTTGTTGAATCATTATTTGGTGCAACATTTCATACCGTTCCTCTGGCCCCTGGCGAATCCTGGCATCCAGATGTGATCAAATTGTCTCTTCATCACCCTGACGAGGTATGTTGTTTACAAAACTAAGATAATATTTGAAGGTATCCATATTTTCCATATTAGACCATCTTTGTTCCGTCATTCTCACAAATCTTGCCACCACTGTCTCCTTCAGGGTGATCTGGGGTATCTTTACCTTGACTTGTACTCACGAAAAGGCAAGTACCCTGGTTGTGCCAGCTTCGCAATCAAAGGAGGACGCAAGATTTCTGAGTCAGACTACCAACTTCCTGTATGCAGCTTGATCAAATTTCATTTTCTCTCCCTCTCTTTAAAACCATATTCTTACACTCTAGCGTGCTGATCTGATTCTTTTGCAGGTTTTGGCTCTCGTTTGCAATTTTTCACGAGCTCGTGATTCCTCAGTGGTGAAGCTTAATCATTCTGAAGTTGAAGTGTTGTTCCACGAGTTCGGCCATGCTCTGCACTCTCTGCTCTCACGAACGGTTAGCAGTACAGGAAGCTAATTATGATCTTGCGTTGCTGATTGCTCTTTGTGTTCTGGATGTTTGCAGGATTATCAACACTTTTCCGGTACCCGGGTGGCTCTTGACTTAGCAGAAATGCCTTCAAATCTATTTGAGTGAGTATAACTCTCAACTATATAAACATTTTATGCTGCCAGGGCCGGATCCTGGATCTAGGCATAGCCGAATGTAAAAAAGGTCCCAAAATTATGAAAAAACAGTAATATTAAAATTCTTATAAAAATGTTTATCGCCCTAAAATCTCAGATCCGGCCATGTGTATTGCAAAAACCTTCTAATGAATGTGTGTTCCTCAGGTACTATGCATGGGACTATCGCCTCCTAAAGAGATTTGCTCGGCATTACTCAACCGGTGAGACAATACCCGAAAAGTTAGTGAGCTCATTACAAGGTGCGAGGAACATGTTTGCAGCAACTGAAATGCAACGCCAGGTCTGATTCAAATCTCAAATATACTCAATGCACAGAACAAAAAATGTTTAGAAAGAGAGATCAACGTTAGTTTCTGTTCGGTTTTGTTTTAATGAGTAGGTGTTTTATGCGTTGATCGACCAAATGCTATTCGGAGAACAACCAGAGACAGCAAGAGACGTGAGTCAACTCGTGGCTGAACTAAAACGAGAACACACTAGCTGGAACCATGTTGAAGGAACACATTGGCATATACGATTCAGTCACCTACTGAACTATGGAGCAGGTCTATTCTCTCTACATAAATAAAATACAATCCAAAGTGTTTTTCTATTTTATGTAACGTTGGTTTCGTCTATGTGCAGGGTACTATAGTTACATATACGCCAAGTGCTTTGCGTCGACTATATGGCAATCAATATGTGAAGAGGATCCGCTTTCGTTGAGCACAGGGACGTTGCTGAGAGAGAAGTTCTTCAAACATGGAGGAGCTAAAGATCCAGCGGAGCTTCTCAAGGATCTTGCGGGCAAAGAGATTATTAGCCTTCATGGTGAAGGCATTGTCCCTGCAACCACGTGCCTTTTAAATGAGCTGAAACTGTGAAAGAAGGTAAAAGTATGTTGTAACCAAACAAAAGAACTTCAGGTCATAACGAATGTGACCTTTTTGACTAGTAAAATTTAATTCGGCTAAACCGGTCCGAAAAAACCTGAACCAAGTGAAATTTTGATTTTGTTTGAAAATGTTATAACTTTCAAGTATTGTTGATGATTATTATTTCTTTTGAGTTTACTAATTCAACGCAGGGATCGGCATATATAAGTAAACTTGTCGAACAGAATTCAATCATCTGGAACTTAACCATTAAACCTTATCATTCAATATTTTTCATAACTAAAACTGTATAATTCCAACGCAAACCGTAAATGGCGTGTAGTGTTTCCTTGTGAAACGAAAATGAAATCTAGTCACGAAGAAAACGGCACGCGTTCTGAGTTTGAACTTGTTTATGATAATACGACGCCGTTTAGAGTTATGCTGAAAACAATATCCTCCTCAGTTATCCGACCACAAAACAAATCAACTGACAAACAAATGGCGCTACAAATCCACACATCGTGTTCCTTCTCCGCAAGACCCTATCATCTTCATCACCTCTACACGAACATAAACCCTAGATTCTCAATCAAATGTCAGAATTCCCAAATCGAAACCGAGACAACAGAGGATCCGCCACAACCCAGGAAACCGAGCTCCTCCGGGGTCGGATTCGGTTCACCGGCTCCTTCATCTTCTCCGGCTAAGAAAGTGAAAGGAAAGAAAGAGGTGATCAGGCGCTCTCCCGTGGAGAAACCAGTGTTCATCAGCGAAGAAGGAGCGGCCAAGGCGGAGGAGCTGAGACGGAACGAGAATGCTTTTCTTCTCGCTTGGCTTGGCCTTGGTGGCGTCATCCTCATCCAAGGCCTTCTTCTTGCTGCTTCAGGTACGTTTTGAAGATTATGTCACTCTTGATCTGGTTTAATTTGGTATATAAATGTTAGGGGGAAGAACAATCATTAGGGATAAAATCATAGGAGAGTGAAGTTTGGTCTGAATTCGACAAGCTTATGTCCCTTTTGTCTCTTGAATTTCTAAATGTATTAAATAATTAACTAGAGGGATTGGTCTAGTTTTGATTAGATGCATTGAAAGGGATAATGAAGTTATTAATAACATCTTTCCTTGTGTTTTTTGTTTTTTAAATTTGTGTCACGTTTATGTAGGCTTTCTTCCAGAAGAGTTGGATAAGTTGTTTGTGAAGTATGTGTATCCGGTGTTCACTCCTTCTGTTGGATTATTTGTGGCTGGTACAACTGCATATGGAGTTCTTAAGTACTTACAAAATGAGAAACTCAAGGATCAAAAGTGATGATACAAACCTTGGATATATGAGGTAGCCTGTGATTGATGTTTAATGGTTTAGGGTGTGTTTGCATGTGGAGTGGATACTCTAGTAAGACGAGTTTGTGTATTGATCTTATCTTTGTCCTCCTTGTATATGCAAAGAGATGGTTATGTAAAATCAAAATATGTTTGAAGATATATTCAGGTGCTATTGAGTCTGATTGGTATTCTGATTGGTATTCTGACTTTATAGGCTTTAGGTTTGTAAAATCATTAAAGTCAAAATTTTAAATAATCAGATTTTTTACTTTAAACCATTAAAAATTCCGTGTAAAGCCTCTAAAATCAATTTATTAAAAAACATCTTATATTATGTTCATGGTTTCCTAAAGCCAAAATTTTAAAAACCAAAATCTTTACAGCCTAAAGCTTAAAACCATATCAAGCACTAAAGCAATAGTCCGTACCAATCGGAGCCATTATCATTTTATCCTAAACAAAAATCAGAGTACGGAAATTTAAACTAAATCAATTTGAAATATAATACAAATCGTGTGTAACTGTACAATTTGTTTGATATAGTTTTAAAACTTTTAGAAATTTAATTTATCTTAAATATTAATATAATTTATGAGGGAGATATGTATAATTGAAAATTTCTTGTCCAATAAAACCACTGGGCTACATCGTGCTCTCAAATATGAGCTCAAGTAAAATCTAAAAGGCCCATTAGGGAGCAGCAGAACAAAAAAACCTAGTTTAGTGTCCGTGTCTCTTTGTTTATAAGCTAACATCAGCTGTCTCCTACAAAATTCGTCGCCCAGTTTCTTCATCAACTCAGCGGCTTGTATCATCTTTCTTCTCTGGTAAAACCTCCTCTAAGGATCTATACAGTCTTAATCTCTGTATAAATCGAAATGCTCTCTGGAAATGTTTTCTGAAACTAAGTTTTCCCTCTATATTATGGTTTCGAATTGATATATAATAAGCTTGTTTTGTTTTGTTTTTGGCTGTATGATGTTAGCTTAAGAAAGCTATGGCTTACGCACCACCGATGAAGCAAGGAAAGGCAGGATTTGAGGAGACACAAGAGCAGATTCACAAAATCAGAATCACTCTCTCCTCCAAGAACGTCAAAAACCTTGAGAAGGGTGAGTTTCGTTTTCTTTATTTACCCATCAAGTTTAGTTCTTTACGTTGGATCTTTAAAGGGTTTATCTGTAATGTGTGTATATGGCTGAGTGGAACTTGGGTTTAGTCATTAGTATTACACTGAAACCTGAAATGGCTATTCATTACTTGTCTCTGTGTTTCGTTTTAATTGTTAGTGTGCACTGACTTGGTCCGTGGAGCTAAAGACAAGAGACTGAGAGTGAAAGGACCAGTGAGGATGCCAACTAAAGTTCTCAAGATTACCACAAGAAAAGCACCATGTGGTGAAGGTCAGTAATTAAATCTCCCTTCTCCTATTTTTGGAATTTTGCAAAATTGTTGTTTTGTAGATGCTAGCTAGATTGTCTATGTGATTCAGATACTTTGCCATGAGTTCTGTCGTTTTGTTGCAATTAGAAATGCAGTTGTTTTCTGCAGAACTTAAAAAATTAAACAATAACCTACTTGTTTTGTCTAACATCTTTGTTTGTTGGATTTGTAGGAACCAACACATGGGACAGATTTGAACTCCGTGTGCACAAGCGTGTGATCGATCTGTTCAGCTCACCTGATGTTGTGAAGCAGATCACTTCCATCACCATTGAGCCTGGTGTTGAGGTCGAGGTCACCATTGCTGATTCTTAGATTGCATGTTGTTTTAATTTACAATCTTGTCTTTGAAATTCCAGCTACTTCTCTCTTTTTCTTTTTGTTCCAAGGTTCAAGACTTGCTGTTTTCTTTCTAAACATGTTATCCATTTGGTTTAAGTTTTGTTGAACATTTTATTTTCTAGTTTTGTTGTTCTAAACCACTGAGGGCTTAATACTATTTAGATTTGAATTACAGTTTGTACCCACTCAGTTTCATTGGTCAAATCATTAAATCTATAATTAGTTTTTTTCTTGATCAAATATATAGTTAGTTTAAATCCGTTAGGTTGTTCAGCTGTCTATGTTTCCATGTTCTATAGTAATTTAAAATAGAAAGTTATATTTTTACCAGAAGGTCAATGTATGATAAACAACTAGACAGCGGGAAGGGAACGCTATTAGCCTATTACACTTTCAGCAAGAAGTAAAAAGACGAGATGATTTCTTCTACATACTAACTGAGCAGGGGAAAACGGCCTTACCTAAAGCTTAAGTTTCTTGAAAAGAGATGAGATTTGTCGTTGCACAAAAAGGAAAGAGCTTAAATTCAAATCACTGTAAGGAACTTATAAAGGAAGAGTTTAGTGAGAGGTGTAGCTTTGATGTGGACAATGCTGTCCATAAGCTAGATAATTTGGGGATCGTTGCCCGTAACACCAACTAGAAGGTACTACTGCATGGGGCTGAAGCGAGCCAACGGGGTCATAGGGATCACCAGCAAAAGCTTGTCCTTAAGGCCAAACAGGTCGTCACCCCTTCTTGTACTTACTACCCACTCAATTCGGTTTGGTTCTATTTCGTTTTGATTCGATACTACATTTTGAATCAGATTCTGATTTTTTTTGTCTAGTCCTATTTTTCTTCGCTTAGATTGTCAAATAACACACAAACTAGGTGATTTTCCCGTGCTCATGCACGGGTATGAATATTTATGAAGTAAAGATATTGTAATATATTCTAATTTATTAATTTAGATAGATGTTTACTTTTAATTATAAATTAATTTATAATTTATATGTATAACTTATATTAATAATATTATATTATTTTAATTAGACATATGATTTGGGAGATAATATATTTAATCGGTTTGGTTGTTTTTTTTTAGTCAATAGTCGATTTGGTTATATTTGTGTTTTTAGATTGCATTTATTTTTTTTGAATTCACCTATAATATTTTTCTTCTAAATATACTACAACTTTGATTATTGTTGCATTTAGATTAGTTATTGTCTTAAATATGTGAATATATTTTAGTAAGATTATGTATAACTTAATATATATTATGCTTATAATGAAATTAAAAATAAACTGAAATTTTGACTCAAAATTACATAAATGAATATAACAATAATATTCTGAAGTATCATTCATATATATAAATTTTACAAAAAAAAACTAAATTATAACAGTTGGTTAATAATCTTTTTTCTATATTGATATATTTGAGTCATCATGTAATTTATATGTATAAAAATAAATAAATAATTATTCTAAAATTCTATGTTCTTGTTGTAGTTAGATCTTTTATTTTGGGTATAAGTTAGATGCGTTCCGTTATTCGTTTTGTGAGTATATTAAGTTATATATTTTTTCTAATTCAAATGAAAATATAATTCTTTTCTACTCTAATTAAATCAAATCAAATTTGTTTTATTTATCGCTTACAAGTATTTTTATAATATTTTTAATAATTGGATATATGTTGATTTTTAAGAAATATTAAAAAATAAAGTGACGATCAATGAGAATTTACATACATAAATATGTGTATAATGGTAAAATTTTAAAATTTCATGAGCACATATTAATATTTACAATAATTAAATATTTATAAATTCTAAATTATTTTATGTCTTAGATTTCTTAAAAGGTAAACTGAAATGTATTTTAAACAATCTTAAAAATGAGAACTTAGATTTACTTGAGTATTTTGATTATTTATATATTAAGTTCCACAAACATACAAAATATAAAATCAAAAAGAAAACTAAATATTAAAAAGAATTTTTAATAATGATAAAATATAATATTTATATTTCATTAATAGTGTATAGTGCTACGCTATTTAAAAGAATTTTGAAATTATTTGATCAAATTATTTATTTTTGTAACAAAAAGTTTAATTTCATTTTTAATATCTCTTAAATAAACACTAATTATGTTATTTTAGGAAAATTTCAAAAATATTATCAAATTTCGTTTATATATAAATATTTATATTTCATAAACATTTCTTTTTTTATTTATGTGCTTTAAAAAAGTAAACTTAAATTACAAAAATTAAGTAAAATCTTAGTATGAAAAAGGAAATACATTATTAACATTTAATATTTTTATTTCATTAAGGGTATTTATGTAATCAACCATCGTGAGAGTTAACATGAGTGCGACACGTAGGAAACTGACTTCTCAAATAATATTATAGAGATTTAGTAATCCCATTAAGTGAAGTTGCATCAATTGATATGAGAAAAACCGTGGCTAGAGGTCAAACACCGAGGAGCCTGGTGGTGTTGGGATGATTTATACTAACTTTATAGACAGATTCAATTTATCTAGATGATTATATATAGTTGATTCTTTTAGAAAAGTCAAATTTTGTGATAAATATTTTAAAAGCTAATTTGAAATGAAAAATATAAAATTGTTGTTTATTTTTTACAAAAAAGTCTGAGAGAGTTTATTAATTCTTTTTAGAAATTTATTATTCAATCAAAATATGACAGAGAATGTATAATTGAAAAATATTGTCCAACAAAACAACAGAGAATATGCATTGGGCTAAACCATGTTCTGAACTAAGGGCTCAATTAAAATCTCAAAGGCCCATTAAGAAGTAAGCAAAAGAAAAACCTAGTTTTGTTTCCGTGTCTCTTAGTTTATAAGCTTAACATCATCTATTCCCCACGAAGTTTGTCGCCCAGTTTCTTCATCAACTCAGCGGCTCGTGTCTTCTATCTTCTCTGGTAAAACCTCCTTTAACGATCTATACAATCTTAATATCTGTATGCTCGTTTGAATCGAACTGTTCTTCTGGAAATGGTTTCTTAAACTAAGTATTTCCTCTATATTATGGTATCGATTTGGATATATAAGAAGCTTTGTTTTGTTTTTGGATGTGTGATTTAGCTTAAGGAACTTGAAAGAAAAAGTAGAAGGAAACTATGGCGTATGCACCACCAATGAAGCAAGGAAAGGCAGGATTCGAGGAGACACAAGAGCAGATTCACAAGATTAGAATCACTCTCTCCTCCAAGAACGTCAAAAACCTTGAGAAGGGTGAGTTTCGGTTTCTTTATTTACCCATCAAGTTTTGTTCTTTACGTTGGATCTTATAAATGGTATATTTATAGCGTACTGGAACTTAGGGTTTAGTCATTAGTATTACTCTGTAACGTGAAATGGTTGGTGATAACTTGTCTCTGTGTTGTTTTTTGATGGTTAGTGTGCACTGATTTGGTTCGTGGAGCAAAAGACAAGAGATTGAGAGTGAAAGGACCAGTGAGGATGCCAACTAAAGTTCTCAAGATTACCACAAGGAAAGCACCTTGTGGTGAAGGTCAGTAATCAAATCTTGTTGATATGTTTTTGTAGTATTAAGTTTCGCTGCAAAACTTGGTTGTCTAAGATTTTTGTTTTATGGAAATATAGGAACCAACACATGGGACAGATTTGAGCTCCGTGTACACAAGCGTGTGATCGATCTCTTCAGCTCACCTGATGTTGTGAAGCAGATCACTTCCATCACCATTGAACCTGGTGTTGAGGTCGAGGTCACCATTGCTGATTCTTAGATGCTTGTCGTTTAATTTACAAACTTGTTTTTGAAATTCCAGCAACTTCTCAGCTTTTTTTTGTTACAAGGTTCAGACTTGGTGTTTTTTTTTCCTATATATGTTATCCTTTTGAGTTTATTTTTGTGACTTCTGCTTTTGTTTTGATAAAGCATTGTGCCTTAATACTATTTAGACTTTTGAATTATAACCGCGGTTCATTAGTACTGTTCGGGATTGTAATCCATCATTTCAACTGTAACTCGGGTTTTTCCTAGATCAAATATAACGATTTTTCGAAGATTAAATCGAAATTACAAAATAAGATAATGTTCCTACGAAATTGACAAGGTTTCTTTTTAGATCTCATAATAATTATACTACTATCTCTTTGGTCAAAGGGATTGATATTTTTTTTTGTCTGGCCGACTCTTCAAAAGAATTGATTAATCTTTTTATTGTCCCACTAGGATACCGAAATATCTTCAATACTGGTGACGTGGACATTCTAATAAGCTAACAAACCAGTCAATGATCGCACCCGTCCATTATTCCCAAACCGCTTGATCCAACAGCCACAAAACAACGTTGATCCTCCGTAACAAGAACAGACACGATATTAACAAACATTTGACAAAATATAAAATAAACAAACCAAATCGTATAAACACGAGAATCGGTCTAAAAGCTTCAAAACCTGATCAACAAGATGGGGAACACGAATTGCATCATCGGAGGTTGCATAGATCAAGCGAGCGTTGGTGTCGTGGAGCGTTGGGGACGATTCGAGCATATAGCCGAGCCTGGTTGTCACTTCTTCAACCCTCTCGTTGGTCAGTGGCTCGCTGGTGTCCTCTCCACCAGGATCAACTCTCTCGAGGTCAAAATCGAGACCAAAACTAAGGTTTTGTTTCCTGAAAGAGATCTTCGAAGTTTTATAATTGGATGGATGATGAATTAGGTTTTTATCTGTGTTTGTTTGCTTTGTAGGATAATGTGTTTGTGCAGCTGATTTGTTCGATTCAGTATCGTGTGGTGAAAACTAATGCTGATGATGCTTTTTATGAGCTTCAGAACCCTAGAGAGCAGATCCAAGCTTATGTTTTTGATGGTTAACTTCTTTTGTTTTGATTTTGTTTTAAACTCTTGTAATGTCTCTTGGATTCTTAGTGTATGTTTTGTTTTTGAATCACAGTGGTTAGAGCTTTGGTTCCAATGATGACGCTAGATGCTCTTTTTGAACAAAAGGGAGAAGTAGCCAAGTCTGTTCTTGAAGAACTCGAGAAGGTATATATATATATAACATGTTTCTCCTTCATAACCTCATTTAATTGTATGTTCTGTTCTGGAGAGACTCTTTGTTTAGAGAAACGAGTCTTGTAAAGTGTTATCATGTATAGATGTGTATGGATTGAAAAGAGGAAACTTGTAACATTATCTGAGGCTAATATAATTAGCGTGCTTTCAGGAACTAGTAGTGGCGAGTTTTGTAATGTTTTGTGAGTCATGATTGTAATTGTTTTTTTTTTTTCAGGTGATGGGGGCTTATGGATACAGCATTGAGCACATTCTAATGGTTGACATCATCCCTGATCCTTCTGTGCGTAAAGCCATGAACGAAATCAATGCAGGTAAACTTTATGATCCATTACCGGCGTGAATTAGTGTCTTATACTCTTCATGGTTCCTACAAATTGAAGCATAAAATGTTTATATCTTTATTGGTTAGTTGCTTTCATCTCCTCATGGGGAAGTGTTAAGCTTGACCCTTCAATGATGGTTCTATTTCTCATTTGTGTCTTAAAACCAATTTACTTTAACGCAGCACAAAGGCTCCAGCTAGCGAGTGTTTACAAAGGAGAAGCGGAGAAGATTCTCCAGGTGAAGAGAGCTGAAGCAGAAGCTGAAGCCAAGTACTTAGGCGGTGTAGGTGTTGCTAGACAGAGGCAAGCAATCACAGACGGATTGAGGGAGAACATAATGAACTTTTCTAGCAAAGTGGAAGGCACATCGTCCAAAGATATCATGGACTTGATCATGATCACACAGTACTTTGACACCATGAGAGACCTTGGAAGCGCATCTAAGAACACAACCGTGTTTCTGCCTCACGGTCCGGGACACGTGAGGGATATCAGCGACCAGATACGTAATGGTTTGATGGAAGCGTCCAGTGCTCGTGTCACCGACGAAGTCTAAAGGGAGATTCACTTTGGGTTGTGAATTGGGTTTGTTGGTTTACCTTTTTAAATTATGGATTTAAATTATGCAGTTTGGTTGTGTGAATTCGTTGGATTTTACTTTATTGTTTATGGTTTTACTTGGTGATATTTGTCTAATGATATATAGAATAAACCCCCAAGTACTTAGAACTCTTTATGTGTATGGACAGGAACATGAGAAAACTTCAGCGAATGGCTTTTGATTATTTATTCAGTTTTCTTATACCGTAACGAGTACTATTTATTTTTCACCATTGGTATGTTAACCTCAGTAGTTAGAATTGAAGGGATAATATTAGGGAAAATGGCTTATTTCGATCTCTATAATTTTGATACCAAGGGCTGATTTTAGCAAGTGTAAAACAGAGATTGATTATTTTTATTTTAGATTTAATTGTATGTTGGAAGAGCAGATATGATGTGTAGCTATTAAGCTTTGAATGGTACCGCCAGGAACCACACTCATTGATAGAAGCCCAAAGAGACTTCCACGTAAAGTAATCTGATCCACACAAACATGCTTTTAATATAGAAACCCTCTGTTCATAGCCAAAGGTTTTGGTTGTTCAAGTTTCTTTGTTGACAAACGTAGTCGGAGTGTCGATTACTTGAATTAACAAAGACCCATGTGTCTTAAAAGACTTAGCTGTTAGGAGGACATATTAATAATATTGTACAACTTAGCTGGCAAGGAGTTTCTTCTTTGGTAATAGTAAATACTAATAATCACTTGTTTAAATTAGTCAATTATGCAACTAAAGTTTCAACCACTAATTCAGCAGTCATTGTCAACATCTACTTGTCTAAGAAGTATCGTCTTTTATTTAAATGTCTCTCAAACCCATCTCTTTCGCACAAACAACAACTTTTCTTCTTCTTCCTTCTCTCTCTCTCTCTCTAAAATTGCGAAGATGATAGATTCTACCTTGGAGTTCGTCAACAAAACCACTTCCAATTCTTTATTCATGTTCCTCTTCTGTAACATGATCATCATCTTAATCCTCTTGGGAAACTCTAAACCGGGTTCTGAAATTAAATCAAATCCCGGTTCGAGGGAACCAAAGTCGATATCTGAATCGGTTCTTAACTCAAAGCCCGGTTTAAAGAAACCCGTGTTGCTATCTGAATCAGTTCTCTCTCCCAAACCCGTGTTAGTATCTGAACCGGTTCTCTCTTCCAAACCTGGTTTTGATAAACCCGGTTTGATCTCTGATTCTGCTCTCCCGTTAAGTCCCCGTTTACAAGAACCAGTGATGATATCTAAGTCGGTTAGCTCCTCCCAACCTGCGGGTTCTGATCAATCGTTGACTTCCAAATCCGGTTTGAATGTAATGTCTTCTGGTTTGAAAGCCGGTTCAGACTATTCAGAGAAAGACGTGAGAGGGAAAATGCGGAAGACAGAGAGCTTGGAAGTAGAGAATGAGAGCTTGGAAGTGGAGTGTATGCTTCGTAGACGAGCTGAAGAATTTATTCGTAAAGTTAATACTCAATGGAAATTAGAGAACAAGAATACTAATCTCTTATAGTACTAATCAGAGTTTTGTTTTGTAATTATGATATGCTCCTTTTTTCAAAAACATGTTTTTATGGAAATGCTCTTTCAAAAACTATTTATGGGAAGCAACAAGTTAATATTTGTGTTCGTCAACAAAAAAAACAAGTTAATATTTGTCTGACTAAAAGTGAATACATATTTATAATTCTCTTCTTTTCACTCAAATTAGCTAAATTTCTAGTGATACCAAATCACACTCGTTCTAGTTCAAATTAATAGTTTTTTTTTCTGTTTTTTCACAGAATTTTAAGAAAACAAATTGTAATTTGCATTTACATATATTTTCTTTGTAATTACAAATTTTCAATAATTTAAATTGATAATAATTTTTTTTAATAAATATAGATTATCATTATTAACTAATAGAAATACATAAAATTACCAAAAATATATTTTAGAAACTGAGAAAAAATCAAATTAAAAACTAATACCGTCAAGAGAAAAGTTGCAATTAAACAAAGTTGCAAAAGGAAGTTACAATCCTCACTATACGCGAAAACTGAAAGTTTGCTATTGTTAAGCTTTTTATGTTTACAACATAAATCTAAAGCGAAAAATCAATTGGTGGTAAATAAAATAATTTGAGTTTTATATTTTTATATTTGTTTTAGAATGATTTGTTCTACCATCAGAGGTGGTCTTTGGGTCAAGCCCATCAAACACTCGCTTGTGACCGCCAAATATATATAAAATTTCCGGCCATAAAATTATAAGGATACATGGTGGTATAATAGCTTTACGTAATGGCGTTTATTTTTTTTTTCTTTTCTGTAACTAGAAATCAATTCTTCTCTTTTTCTTGATCAAGTGGTAATTCCATTATTCTATAACATAATTGGTTACTATCATATTTTAAACATATTTTATCTTGTTGTGATAGTATATGCGTTTGTTCATAGTAACTAATATAGAGTGGTTTTGTTTAACATTTATTTTTTAAAATTCAAAAACGATTAGTAGGAAAATTTATGAATCAATCTTTTTTTTTCTTCGCTTCTAACCACCAAAAAGTCAGGACCGGTTCTGTCTACCATTAAATCTTTACAATATCTGAATATATGATTCATGTCATACCAGTTGGACTAATTTTAGATCAGCCGGTTAAGCTAGTTCAAGACCAATCATGCTTCTTTTTAGATCTCATTGATTTCAGGTCCGGATTGGATAACATATATTCATATTCTGATACTATGTTAAGTTTATTATACTTATAACTTAAAGCTAATTAATCATAGATAAATGACCAAGTTCTATATGAGAACAATGATATGAAGAGGACGATTATCAACCCACTGTCTCTCGAGTAACTTGTCAAAATTTTACAAAATGAGGAAGATTGGTCATGTCTATATTCTGAATTGGACAAATTCAATATACCTGAAACATATGTCGATTTTTTAATTTCTTAAATTTTCCGTTTTTAAATTTTTTTCTTCGAAACTGACCTACTAAAAAAATCTGTCCATGCGATATAAGTTTTTTTTTTCTGTATGAAACTATGAAGATACAAGTTGACTAGCTCATAAAGCTTGCCTAGCTAAACCAAATTAGCAATAACACAAGTGTCTGATGAAAAAAAAAAATCAAATTACCTAAATTTATGTATCTAAACTAAGATCAAATCGTATCAGGGTTAAATTTGTAATTGTGTAAAGAAATATTTTGCTATAAAACAAAGTCATAAAAGGAAAAAAAAAAAAGAGAGCAAAATGACGCTGATGCCAACACATAGAATCAAGTCAGAAAGCAGATCATATATTTCCTGATCCGATTAAAAAGGGATTTGTGTGAATAAAGTGCAGCGATAGTGTTCTCCAATAAAATAATATCAGATTAGGCTTAAGCTCTTACAGAACCAACAAAAGATGGATAAGACAGAAATAAAAATACATTATCTATGAGTCGCATAAATTTGGAAAGATGCAATTTGGTTTGGTTGGTGGAAGCTGCAATTTATATTAAGGTTTGTTAGAAAGAGGGCGAAAAGCATCTTTCTAGTTCATCAAATCCATGAGTCAATAGAAAAACAAAGTTAACAGATGAATCAATCCGAAAAATAAGATATGATTTTATAGACCAGATTGATTTATACAGATCATATTAAAACGCTTGCCAACTAAAGACAGTATCCAACTTTACAATTGTTTACTTGAAAATTGATACTTCTGTTAATTATTCCGAGTTATTTGTGTCTATACTATACATATGTGAGCTTAATCAATTTTTGGTACTTAACAAGGAACTAGGTCTGGGAATTCGGATATTCGATTCGGTTCCGGATAGGAACCATTCGGTTCTAGGTAGATTGGATAAATCATTCTTATACTCAATAGGTACTTAAGAAATTTTGGTTCGGTTTCGGTTTGGTTCCAGTTCGGTTCTGGGTACCCATTTAATATATAAATCAAATATATATATATATATATACAAAATATATTAGTTAATATGTTAATTTAAATGGTCTAGTGTTTACACGCTTAAATATTCGTCAATCCAACAAGAGTTCAAATCAATAAAGTGTTAATTTTATAAATATTTATCATATTTTAATATAGAAATACTATATATATTTATAATATAACAATATAAATAAAATATAACTTGTTTTTCGGATATTCGGGTACCCATTCGGTTCTCGGTTTGGTTCCGATTCCAGTTCGGTTTTCGGGTATAGAAATATAGGAACCATTCGGATAATTAAGAATTTTGGTCCGGTTTCGGTTACGAGTATTTCGGTTCGGTTTTTCGGTTCCGATTTTTTTGGCGGGGCCTATAAGGAACCTACAAAATTTATTCATTCACTTGTTTAACAAAACAAGTAAGAGTGCACCTATTAACTTAATTTTGGATATATATAGGTCAAATGTCTAGAGTATACATGCGTAGTTAAACAAAACTGAACCAAACTGAGATTTTCGGTTTTTGATTCTGGTGCAGTTACAAGTAGGCCTGGGCACAAGGCAAGTACCCGGCATTTTTGCGGTACTTGCTACCCGGCTTGGTTTATTTAAGTAGTTGTGTATTTGACTTGTACTTGGCTTATTCTTAACAAGTATTTGTGATATCAAGTACTTGTAAATTTCTAGAATACTTGCAGATTACTTGGTTTGGTTTTTTACTTGATTTTGTTTTGTATTTGCCTTNGTGATATCAAGTACTTGTAAATTTCTAGAATACTTGCAGATTACTTGGTTTGGTTTTTTACTTGATTTTGTTTTGTATTTGCCTTGGTTTGATATTATCTTCTCAATTATTTAATCTATTTTCTTTAACTACTTAAATATAAAATATTTGAAATCCAAAACACAATTTCATATACACATACAAACTTTTAAGCATCAGTATTTTACATACAAACTAAAGACAAAATACCTATAGACATTGACAATATACAAAAACCAAAATATTCTTTTCTAGTTATTTGGACTTAATTCAAATTCAGTATTAATATTAAACACACCATTCCTTTTTAGTTGTGATGGAAATACAATACATTAGATAAAATTTTTTAATTAACTAATAAAGTATATATCAAATATTGAATAAACTAAGTATTATATAACAAATAACGAAACATGTAATTGATAACAAGTAACGAACCAAGTAACAAATCAAGTAACAAGTCAAGTAATTAAAAATAAAAATAGACTTGATACTTGACTTGTACTTACGAGTAATAAAATTTGTTTACTTGTTACTCGACTTGTTTATGCCAAGTACTTGTTTTTTCAAACCAAACCGAGTCAAGTAGCAAGTATAAACCGGGTATCAAGTAATAGTGCCCAGCCCTAGTTACAAGACTAACTAATCAACAATATTTCAAATTCATTTTAGTTATTAGTTCTGTTGGGCTGAACTAATTGCCTATCCACTGTTTTCATTAATGGATTCTTTTAGAGTCTCCAAGGTGGGTCTCATGGGAACAGCATCAAAGACGTTAATGGTTGCTCGTTCACCAAATTATAAACACATGTTTATAAATCAGGTAGTTATAAAGTAGATATGATCCTTTGATTTGTCAAAATGAAAGTCATTAAAGAGTAAACCGAATGAGAGAGCACACACATAAGTTTTGCAATTCTACAACAACCAGTAGGGACAAAAGAACGAACCCTAAAGATATTACATCCTCTAATAAACCCTAACTCTTTAGTGAAGGTATCACTGTTTAATAATACAACTAAAATCTTTAAGAGATTAAAAACCCATTAGACTCTAAAGAATCACAAGGCACCAAAGAACAAAACGCAGCAGGGCAGCTCAAGATCAAGAACCATCGATGTTGTTCGGATTCACTCACTCAGTCAATAATCATCAGTTTGGAACCTCGTTGTCAGATTCAGTATGGCCTCCAAATTCTTCATCATCTTCACCTTCTTCGTCATCCTCTCCTGGGAGAGAAGAGAAGAGATCCCTTATATGGTCAGCAGTGTTGTTTCTGTAGTAACCACCTTGGGCCACGTTAGTACTCGGCTCATGCGAAAAGGACACATGTGGTGGTGCGGACACGGGTGGTGGCTGAGTAACAACAGGCTTGTTGAGACCGTATCTAGCCTTTGGATCTTCTGTTGATCCACCACCGAATGAGATGTTAGAAGCTTGTGTTGTTATGGGGATGCCAAGTCTTTCTCTTCTTTGCTTCTTCATCTGCTGTTGCTGCTGCGTTTCCTTCTCCTGATCCCCCGCAACAAAAGTCCCAACCATTACCTGAAAAACAGATAAAAATGCTTTAAAACAATAAAAACATAAACTAGATAGAGTCCATTACAAGGATCAAGAGTTACCTGAACAGGACCAGCGGCTATGAAGAGACCAGCGAGACCACCACCAAAGACACGACCATCAGGTCCTGCAAGAGACACACTCATCCCTCCAGCTCTGCTTCGGGTTCCTCCACTCTCGTTTGGTATAAACGAACCCGTCAAAGAAAGAATCTCAAAATTACCCTGACCGACCACAAACTGTTAACTTAATAAAAAATAAATCTTTAAATGAATCTAAAGAGAGAGAGTAGACCTCATAAGTGAGAGTACCACCAGAAGTGGTAGATTGGCGAAGTGTAACATTAGAAATGGGACCGTTTGCGGAAAGAATGCAAATAGCAAGAGAGCCTTGTTGAGAAAATGTCATTATTTTCATAGTCACATCCTGTTACCACCCCATTTCGCCCAAAAAAAAAAGTTACAAATCTTGATTAATCATCATAGGAAAACTTATATTTTTCCTTATTAACATTCAGTAAAAAAAAAACACAAGTTAAGTGAATAATCAAGAACATACCTCGCCAGCATTTACAGTGAGCACATGAGGAGTAAAACTTGCGCTAACAACATCTCCAGTTCCTACAACTGCAAAGTAGTAAACCAACAAACAGATAAAGAATAACAATTAAGAGTATAAAATTGTAATTTAACCAAAACAGCTAACAGTCCCAAAATAAAAGTTAAAACCCTTATGCATTTGGACTATGTTGTGTACTGTACTTACAAATTCATTACCGCATTTTAATCAGTGCTTATCCATAAGGCATAAGATCCATTAAACGCTGCGTATTGGTTCTAACAGAGAACTAAATTGTACAAAAAAGATTCATGTAATAGAATTAAAAAAATGACTCAAGATAACATTACCAGGAGAACTGTTGAATTCGAACATCTGAGGATTCTTGACCCAACTATTGTTGTTGCTGTTGTTGGGCGGTAGCTCCACACGCCCTCTACCTCTTCCTCTCCCTCTCCCACGCCCTCTTCCTCGTTTCTGAGAAGCAAACTCCGTCGACAACGGAACGGAGGAGGAGATTGGCATCGGAGAGAGTGTCACGGCGAGTGAGCCGTCAGGGTTATACTTTCTCGGTCTTCCTCTCTTCTTCTTCATCTCAGCAGAAGAATTCTCCACCGGCATTGTTAAGCTGAAAGGAGGAGCAGCATTCTCGGAAGCTTTAGCCGCCACGGCGGAGACGGAGGCAGATGCCGCGGTGGTGTTGGGAAGTCCCACCGGAAAAGGGTTAGGGTTTTCAGACCGTGGTGGGTCCATTTGGTAAACACTACCACCAGTAGGAGGAGGAGGAAAAGGAGCAACGTGTTGTTTCAGACCAAAACTGGTTATGATGTTGTTGTTGCTGGTTCCTTCTCTCTCTTCCATGGTGATGGAGATTCTGTACGGAGAGAGAGATTCCGACAGTAAGTAAAGAAACTTGAATCTTGTTGACCACGACAGGTACAAGCTTCTTCTGAGACAAAAAAAAAGAGAGTTTAAAGTACAGACAAGAGAAAAAGAGATCCAGAGAACTTAAGATTCAGAAGAGCAAAAAAAAAAGAAAAGGAGAAAGATGAAGTTGAAATTAAGTGAAGAGAAAGATCAGAGCTTTCATGGAGGAACCTTAATTTCACTTGAATTTTCTTCTAAAACATTCTTAATTACCTGCACAAAAGAAATTGGAATTTTCTTTTGTCTCCTTTTTTTTTCTTCTATGGGTTGGGTTAAGTTTTATGGAGAAATTTCTTTTACAGATGTGAGAAATTAGGGTTTTGAGAAAGAAAATGGGGAAGATAAATAATAAAATAAATAAATCAAAGGAGCAGATATTTTATTACATTATTACATTTTGATATTATATATTAAAAAGGGGAAGAAAATGAGAGAGAGAGACTAGAAATTCAAAAGAAGTGTAAATTGTAATAATGGTTTAATTAGAAAATTTTCAAAAGAGTTACACGCCACTCTCTTTAAACAGTCTTGGAATTTGGGATACAGCTAAAGCTAAATTAATTTAATATAATGAGTAGGGGACAATTTTTAATTATATACAGTTGGACTTGGTTTTTGAGATTTGGATTATTATTAAAATTTAAAATAGAGAAAGAAAAAGATTTGAGTCTTTTTTTGTGTTCGAGTCATATGCCCTTTTATAAATCTACTGTACTTGTTTCTTTTTCCAGTCTACCCACTTTGACTTGTAACCAATCCATTTCTCAAGTTACAACACAAGTACGATATTGCTGGTCTTGCGACTCTTGTCCTTGCCATTAGGAGTGGAGTGGTATGTGACTCTTGTCCTGCGTGGTATGGTTCCAAAAGATGATGATGCTTTTTTAGTTTTTAGGTAGAAATCAAGCACATACTCTGAGAAATGTTTAAAATGAATATGAGAAGATTTGCAAATCTAAAATATAATAAAAAAATATTTATCAAATTTGGGAATGAGAGAGAGAGAACTTGTATCTCTTCAATACCTTGAACCTCCATGTCTCTTTCACCTCACATACTCTGCTTGATAGTCCAAGCTTCTGGCCACAGGGCCAAGACTATAAAACCTTGTTAATCAGCAGAACTCAAAGTCATCAAAGTCCATATTACCATGGAAAATACAATTTATACCTGTGGATTTGCAATTGGGCCTAATAGAGGAAAATTCCCTTAATGAGTTGCTTATCATCAGAGTTTAGAGTTTTCTTGCACTATTTTTGGAATGTTTTTTTTCTTTCTAAATTTTACATCTAGAACTGAACACTTTGAGCTTCCTTCTCTTGTCAAGAGTCCAGAGAAGCATCCTTAGACCACAAATGAAGATCCATCAGACTCTGACCTTTGGTTAGACCATCACTTTGTGTCTCTTAACCTTTTTTTTTGTTAGTCTCAAAGAAAACTTACACATGTGAAAACGCTTACTTAAAAAGAAAAAGCCAATCATATAATTGACCTTTTAACAAACCAAAGAACAATCAATTTGAGTTTATACAAAAAAAAGTAAAGACAGATTTGAAATCAGACGTGGATCAAAGACTCAGACTGCAGCATGAAAGCGAGTCTTCGTTCCTCAAAGGAGTACTCAACAACTTCAACCTTTTCTGGAAGCAATCTTGCATTGTTGGTGTTGTTGAGTGGTGTTGCTGCAGTTTGCATTGGAACAGAGATTGTTGCTGGTGTAGATGGGATAGGAATCATGGCTGCTACATTCTTCGGTGTTTGCATCATCATCGCCATCATCTTCTCTTCTTCCAAGTTCCTTATACTGTTGTTGTTCTTCACCGGAGTTGCAAATGATGATATCTCCTTCACTGTGTTGCTTTTCATAGGGTTTGGAAGAAGTTGCTGTGGCGTTGCTATGTTAGCCTTTGATGCAACCACCGTGGTAGGAAGGGGTGAGAATGGTTTGCGAACTAGTGGAGACTGTAGCTGTTCACATGGGTTCATTGACTGTTTCCTTGAGGGGAGTCCAGCAACATCAAGCCCTCTTCTTCCTGCACGAGAATAAAAAAAAAACCATTCATCAATGCAATTAAGAAATACTACTCAGCACTATGATGCTATATTAGTGTAACAGTTTATTGTAAGACTTGAAGATTACCATTTGATAAAGCTCCATCGTTCTGGCGCTGATCTGCTTTCTTGTTAGGTTTAGGAGTCTGATGCATCCCTGCTCCTAAGGAGAGTCTTCGGTTGGTTGCTGCACCACCGGTTGACATTCTAGGAGCCTTTTTAGCACCGAGAGGTTTTGATGGGCTCGGTTTTGACCCGTAAAGCGCCTCTTGTTCTGCTATGAGCTGTCCTTGGAGCTTCTTATGATCCTTTTAACATGTAGAAAACAGTAGCATCACATAGAGTTAGATTAGGAAGATTATACTGGCATCTGATGGACACAAAGAGAAGTACATACCCGTTGGCGACGGTGTTCTTCTTCTCTTTCCTGCCTCAGTAAGTTATACTCCTCGAGCATGGAGAGTAGACGGATCTACACACATAAAAAGAGATTTACAAATGGTCAACGACTACATAATAGACCATAGTAAACTGAAAACAATAGAGATTTATGAAGAAAGTCATACACCATCATAGAGGAATTCAATTCCCTTTTCTTGTTCCCAAACTATTGTCTTCGAGGCTAGTGCTTCAACCATTCCTGGAAGAATGAACATAAGAAGATAGTATCTTCACAATCTACTCAGAGCATAAGCATTTGTTATATATTCATAACAAGAAGTAAACTTACCTGGAAGTTTGTTAACAAGATTACGAGCTTTCTCAGCACGCTTGAGAGTAAGATGAGCTCCTCGTCCAGCATTGTAACGGTTATCATCCTGTATAGTGCAAAAAAACAAACTAAAAATATCAGAATATGTAACGAGCTGTGTGACATGTAACACTTGAAAAAGGTTTCTGTGATTTGGACTCTAACCCTGTTGTATTCTTCAAGCCAACTTTCTTCATCGCAAGCAGATAACCACTTCTCGACCTTTTCAAGTATCTCCTTTCTGCTTAAAGCTTCCTCTTTGATCTTAGAAATGTGTTGCTCAAGATGCTCCAGGACCAATGTGGCATCCACCATACCAGATTCTATGGCCACTATTGTCTGATCTATAGCACTGTCTGACACTGGTAACATGTGTGTTTTCCTGCATATGTCCTCTAGCTCTGATCTCTTCTTCAGAACAAGTTCTTTCATTTTGCTTGCCTTTACCTCGTCCAATCGAGCAACCTCTGCTTCAACCTGTAAATGGCAACGGAAGTCATGTTAAGGCTCAGCTATACATGTACATCAAAAAGCTTCCATTAACTTAGCGTTATAGAACAAATGTAACCATGAAAAGTTCACCACAGCTTACGTATTTAATGAAGTCTTCAGAGAGACTATTGGCTTCAGTTATTTCATGTTCTGATGCAGCTATATTGCAGGTGATATGCTGATACTCTTGCTGCTCTTCTATGGGTGTATCCATCAAATTCCAGAGCTCCAACATCGTTGTTGCTAGATCTTGAAGCTTCATGAGTACAGTAAGCAACTATGAGCAACAAGAACAAAGAAAAACTCCTAGATAAATCGCAAAGTAACTATGTCATTTACCTTCTGCATTCTCTGTATCTTAACCTCCCCCAGCTTTTGAACTGCAGCATCCAAGTTCTTAATCGTACGATCACTTAAGCTTCTTGGTCCCTCTGGATCAGTTAATGTGGAATTAACTTGGCTAACAACCTCATTGAAGTCCATTCCAAGTACTGAACAGTGAGAATATAGAGTACACAGGTGCTTCCGAATCGTCTCAACTCGTTCACTCTGAGGGAAAGAACAACAACACAAAGTAAAATAAACAGACAACCGAAAACAAGAGAGGTCAGGTTTAAATGAATTTCACCTTCTCCTTCTGAAGTGCTTGCAGGTGGCAATGTAACTCTTCAAGCTTTCTCATAGACAAGTCAGTCTCATCAATGAGTGGTTTCGCTTGAACAAGTGAGTCTCCTTGACCTTTGATCTCATTAGTGATATTCTCTATCTCTTCCAGGACAACCATGAACTGGTTTCTCCTCTCGGTCTGCTTCCTTTGCATCTCTTCAAGTTCAGGAAGAATCATCCCAAGCTCTTGTTTCAAGCTCCCAACGCTTTGGTCAGACTTCAACACATACAAAAAAAAAGAAGGTTAACATGGAGTAAAGCTTCTTCACATCATATACACACACAAATACTCACTTGTCTTATATGAACAGGACGCTCTCCCAACGCAGAACAGATTGCAGCTAGCTGTGCTTGAGTATCAGCAATAGCTTGTCTTAGCTGAGCTCTACAACGGTTAGCTTGGTCAACTTTTCTCCTGTAAACTTCGAGGCACTCACGTTCAAGCTCAAGCAACATCTTGTCTCTATCAGTCTCAGTTTCTCCAACTTCATCCCAAATAATCTGATTTTAAAGTAACAAACACAAAACAACATTTCATATTAACAAAAAAATTATATGATACGAAAAGACAAAGACTTTTTTAATTTTAATCTAATAACTCACCTGGAGTTCGTAGAGGAGAGATCCACATGTTGACTCTACTTGAAGAATCGGATCTTTTTTCACACTTGCCATTTCGAAACTGCTTATTTTCTGCTAAGAAATTCAAAAAAAGGAAACCCTAATTATGTCATTTCCAAAAATAGCACTGAGGAGACTTGAGATTCGTTAGCGATTCCCATCACTATAAGCCTAATTGAAGAAATATAAGAATTGAGATTCCGAAGCAAGCAATGAGAATTAGCTTTTGAAATCGATTGAAAACCAAACTATGTAGAATCGATTTTGAACAAATTTCATTTTTTTAGTGGAAGAAAGGGTTCTGAGATACTTGCCTTGAAACTGGAGATTTATCGAATACTTGGACGAAGATCGATCTGATGAACTATTCGATTGGCGTATTAATTTTCGAAATAGAGAGACAATTTGAAAACCTAGATCGGAGTGAGTGAGAGAGAGAGAGAGAGAGAGAAGAGGAATATAGCCGTTGGAAGATGTTAAAGTTGTCGATGATGATGAGAGATGAGGCGTTACTGGACCACCAAGCTCTTCCTAATTCTTTATATTGGGCCTTCCTTTTCCAACTTTTTGAATTTCAAATATTGGGGCATATAATCCTGTGCATCGCGTTTCGAGTAGACCAATTGATTGTAACCGTCAAGGTATGCTTATTCTATTTCAACGGTTGAGATCAACATACTATTCGAGCCATGCTAAATTC